CTTCACAAAACTCCTCCTGAAACTGGTTCCGAGCTGCAAGCCACCGTTTGGGTTGCCGGTTGGATTTGGTTACCTCAAGAACCTGGGTCTCCCCCAGTGGTGCAGCCCGCTCCCCGAACTACTGCCCAACACATCGCTTCTCCACGCCTCAGCCTCCATCTGGTTCCAGACCTGGCGAGCGGGCGAGGGCCCGAGGGTCCGCAGACGGCAGTGCGCTGAAGGAACATGCGTCCCCAACCACCCAAGGATTTGCCCTACGCCCTCTACCAACTACATGGACAAGAAGAAACCTGTGACACGTGAAACATGGTTCCATTTTGTAGCCTATAGTTTTATCTTTTGTTGTCCTCAAGATGAAACAAGGCATCAAAGACCCTGGCTTCTGCAAGCAAACACCTCATCTTCCTCGGGCCCCTTCCTGCCCGGGCCCTGCTATTCCAAACGAGGCGGGCCAACTGGAAGCGGAGCGAAGAGCAAAGAGCGGAGCGGTGCTCTTGGCAACGCGCCATGCTTGAGCCGCAAGAGGCCATGGCGATGCGACGTGAAACTGCCATCACAAACACCATGGGAGGTGTGTTCACCAATCTGGGGTCATCTCTAAATGGGGTGCCCTTGTTGCTTGCCTTCAAACCAACCCAAAAAAGGTACCGAGAATCAAGGAAAGACAAACCACCCGTCTCAAAATGAAAGGACTGAGAAGTTCAATATGGCATTCAACATGGCATTCAATATGGGGTGCATCAACCAGGCTGCACGCCATAGTTGTTGGCATGTCTAATTCTCCACACGACAAGCACCATAACAGCCCCGTTCAATTTTTTATATGTATGTGTCATCTCGAGTTAATATTGTACAAATAGTTGAGGCTTGGTTCTTTGAAGAATATAAGAGATTATCATTCCAGCGCTGCTTCCTGAACTCCTTTCCCATTGCTGCCCCTACATGCACTTCTTGACAGACATGCCGAGGTCGGCGCAGGTGGCTGCCTCTGTGGATTCGCAACCTGCTTCACGGCGCGGCGGGGCTGACCCTCCGTTACAACCTGGGCCTACTGTGGTTGTTGATGGTCAAAACGGGGCGCCCCAACCTTCGGGCGCACGAGTGCAACTTCAGTACATCCTTAACACGCTGCTTCAAAGCGTGTTCGACCGGTCCCAGGTATGTTACCTGCTGGGGTGTGAGACCGCAGGGATACTGCTGACCTAGAAACGATCACGAAAGGCATGCCTCAGTGAGCGATGGGCTGGGTGGGTGAGCATCAGAACAAAATTGAAACCCTTCGTCCTCCAAAGGTTTGAAGCATCAAAACGGCAACGCGGCCGAAGATTCAAACTGGATGAAAACAAAACACGTGGGAATCAACAAACCCAAAGACTGGCTGGATACTCTGCTGTCCAGCGCAATGCCTTTTTCCTGCCACGCTTGGGTTGTCTTGTCGCGTGCGAACATCTGGCTGCGATGCGCTGTGTGCACGCATTGTGCATGCAAAGCACCAAGATTTCGCGAACATCATTTTATGCTGGCGTGCGTCCACTCATGCGAGGCGGCTGTGGATTTGCTTTAGCACTCAAAGTTTTCCGGCTCGACGCTTTGCGAAGCCGCTGTTTTGAACAGGTCCCGGCTGCGTCTGTGTTTCATCGCCGTGTTGCACTCGTGCAAACTCGACTGGCGAGAGGCCTGGAACTCCGTTTATATGCGCTGGAGTTCGTTTTGGGGCCTCCTGGTTTGAGTTTCAGCCTGCGCTATTCCTTGCACGGCGGGGCCAAAGTCAGCAGGCCGACGTCGCCTGAGCAGCAAAGGTGAAGCAGCTAAAGCCACTCGTCGTTTAAGATGTCATGCTCTTGGTTTGCAATCAAATCAAAAGGTTCAAAGCGTGCGAGGCCGAGTCGTTCTGCTGCGGTTGAAAATGCATGTTATAGGGAAACACGCACTGCTCCAACCTAAGCAACCCAACTCTCGACGCGAAAGAGACGCACTCCTCTTTTGTATCCGGGTTGCGCTGGAGTCACTAGCTGATGCAAAGCGGTGCACTGCGATGCACGGCTTCAGCTAGAGAAGGCTTTATCAACCCCCTGGTGAAACGTATGCATCACGCTGGAGCTAAATCCTCGATTGATTCTTCGCACTGCGGTGCCGAGGAGTTTTAACGAACCGAAGTCTGGGAACTCAGTGGTACCTTATCGCACCTGGGGTTGTCCCAGAGCACGGCGGTGCAGTGCGCGGCGGCACCAACATGTTGACTAGACCAACCAGATAGGCTTAAATATGGGCACCAAAGTGCCGTGGGCAGCGGCCCGTACCTGCGGGAAAATGCACATTTGAACCCTTTAAACACAACACGCAAACAGGGGGGAGAGGGTTTCCCAACGACAGGGCCGAGTTGAGAAACCAAACATTGCAAAGTGCACCCACTCAAACAGACAAGGCTCAAGCCACTTTGCAAGGTGGATTCATTCCCTTAAAAATGCCAAGCACTTTTCCATCATGGGGAGTGACCATCATCAAGTGCCTCAGGCACTTGACGCTTTGCCAGGGGGCGGAAAGGCGGGTGCAAAATGCCACGATGTATTATCGTGTTTCCCACCACTCCCACCCTAAGAGCCAAAAGGCTAAGTGAAAACTCAGATCATTCCATCCCCCCCTTGCGTGTTGTGGCTCACACATGTTCGCACTTTAAAGGGTTAAAAGGGAACAGGGCAAGCCCAGATAACCTTTGAACCCTTTAAACACAACACGCAAACAGGGGGGAGAGGGTTTCCCAACGACAGGGCCGAGTTGAGAAACCAAACATTGCAAAGTGCACCCACTCAAACAGACAAGGCTCAAGCCACTTTGCAAGGTGGATTCATTCCCTTAAACATGCCAAGCACTTTTCCATCATGGGGAGTGACCATCATCAGGTGCCTCAGGCACTTGACGCTTTGCCACCCCCACCCCACTTTCATCACTCACCAAAGTGTCAAGTGGTTGCAAAGGAGTACCACCAACAAGAACCCGTGTCACGTTCTGCACCAAGCTTTGCAATTAAGCCATTGAGACATCCTCGAGACGGCTCATCTGCTGGATTAGATCTAGAAGGAACACAGGTGTACCAAGACCACACATGGCCTAAGTCTTCTGCTTCTTCCCATGCCAAGAGCAGCCGCCTCATCTTTTCGTTCGAAGACACCTTTTATGCAAGCATCCATTGCAACAAACTGTCAATGTACCAGATAACTTTGGCCTTGACAAGTATACGTTTTTAAATGTAGGCGTACAACTCAACTGGCCCCATGCCAATGGTCCGTTAGGCACATGCACTGGAAACCTCCCACAGCATGAACGCCCTCATCGCTTGCACCATCTGTGTATACCACGATTGACATAGAAGGAGGCGAACATGGTTGAACGTTGGCACCCCTTGAATGTTTCGCGCAACTCGGCCATGGCCAGCTTCCCAACACGACCCATGACCTGCCCCTCAGCATACTGCAAACGACCCAGAAGTTTGCTGCAGTCCGCAGTTGAGACTTGGTCGCCCTCCAAGAGCTTTGCAGCAACACCTTCCACTTCCTCAAGACGGCCAGGTTTATTGCGAACTAAGACTCCTCTGTCCCGAACATCCTCCAAGTCAACTTCTACCCCTAGCACGACAGCCTTCTTGGAGAAGGGCTTGAGCTTTTCTTGTTAAGAACTGAACCCGAGAAGCCGCCTGAGCGTATCCCTGCAATCCCACGCGTGCCCGGAAAAGCTGGCAAGTTCCATCCCGCTGAGCTTGTCACCACTTGTCACCGCTTCGTCACCGCTCTCTTTTGGACCGAAAAAGCGCGCAAAAGCCGAACGTGCAGAGGGCTCTTGGCAAGTTTGAGTCAATATTGAATCGGCTTGAAACAATATTGTTTCATTAATGGGCAAAGGTTGCCCGCAGGCGGGAATCGAGCCCCGGACCAGGGTGGTGCAGAGACAGTGCTTTAACCACTGAGACAAGGGAGCTGCTGGATGTCACCGCTTGCTTGTCACCGGGGCTTTTGGGCCCGCCGAGGTGTCCCACGGTCCGTGTCGCCCCTTGACACAAGCTTTCGTAATCCTCGGCTTCGGTCTAAAAGCGAGGCCGGCTCCGCGGCTTCGGTCTGAAAGCGAGGCCGGAATTCTATTCACCGAGGTCGGAATTCCGACTTTGCTCTCCCACCAAGGTCGGAACTTCAACTTCGTTCTCTGTCCTATATCATAACTATGCACACAATGCATAGTTGGATATAGCAAGGACCCGGGGGACTTCCTCTAAAGACCCGCCGCTTGAAGGCCCGGGCCTCCTCCTTCTGCGAACCAGGAGGCGATTTGTCCCGAATTTTTTGAGCGTCGTGTAGAAAGACCTTGCTCTTGCAGGAACTCATTGACGCTAGGCAATAGATCGTCATGTTTCTGAGCAACAAATACGACTAAGTCTTGCCGAAGCTCACCATGATCAGTGCCAATGTATGCTTGATGAAGACTGATTGCACAAGCACCGGTGGTGTTCAATAAAGCATCGACAAGCTGATCAACCCATCCAACAATGTCAATATTGCATGCCAGACTATATCTGCTGAGATAGCTGATTACCTCAGTACTGCGCCTGTCTCCTTTCACTTGTAGACTGAAAGGATTGGTAGCGTCGGCTTCAAATCCGTTGCATACCGGCTGGCAAAGGTCGGTATAGCAGTGATTATATTCCAATCACGAGCAAGGTCACAACTCGGATGCGCTCATTACCGGACTGTTGGAGCCCGAAAGCAACGGTATGATGTGTTTTTTGACCGACTTGTACACGGCCCACGTGACAGGCGATTCTGACGTGCTTGGTGAGGTGGGGGTAGTATTCGCAAATGCCTCTTCCAGGACAGGCACAGCAGCATGGGTACCGAAATGTTGTAAACACACGGTAGGGATGCGCGCGTTAACAAGCTTGATGAGGGGCCCAAAATGTTTACCAAGTACAATAGCCAGACAGCACGGATGCTGTTGTCGGTACTTGATAGCAAAATTTACATCCTGAGCGTGTGTAGTGAGCACCCAGAAGTTATCTGGCAATGTGTCTCTGATGGCACTAGGCGTGGCAGCAAAAACAAAGACCTGGTCAACTCGCAGCACCTTAGCGTGTGAAGAAATTGAAATAAGTGCTTCTCGAAAGGCATCTTCCTTGGTGTCACCAATCCATTGATTGTATTTGAGTGACAAGGACTGGCCAAGGGCCTGCTCCCACTCATGGTTTACCTCATTAGGCAACTCAGTACTCTCAGCATGTTTAGGTTCTGGATCGGCAGCCGGGGTCCTTTTTTCCTCCTCAGCACACTTTGAGGCAATTGCCTCAGGTCGCGAAGGATTGGCAGCCGGGGTCCGTGGAATAGGATCCTGTGAGTGAGCCGCAGACTGAGGGTTGTGTCATCGATTGAGCCTTTATAGGACTTGGTTCAATGGGAGCAGGAGGCAGGACCTGTGAGGCTCCATGTGGTGAGACAGTGCCAGAGCAACTCGTAGCAAGGCGGTCTGCACAGGACG